AAAAATACTGGATAATGTTAACACTATTGGTAACTCAGGAGGCGCATATCTTTCATTGGAAAAATTTCCTTTGAATGAAACGTATGAAATGCATTTTGTCAATTGCGAAGAATTCTATCTCACAAAATTAAGTATTAATGGCAGTCTACTTCAAGAAAGTCCTTCTTTTACGGAAGAAAGAAAAACATCAGCCACACACACGTCATTGAATGACAGCTGGCAATGCTCGCGTAACATACTTTCTTGTCACCTTTGGTTATGCAGAACTTTCAAGAAGGGGATTGTTGCTGAGCATAATCATTTGCTTGTTACAAAATGAAGGGGAAGTTTTGCAGAAAGCGTCCGTGCTCAAGCTCAAAAGTCTTGCTATCTCTTGCACCTGTAGTTAGTAAAACAGAAGCCTCAGAATAACACAGATTCAAGGGGTTTTGTTCGGTGTTTTTAACGCATGAGCTCGAGTGTAATTTACAGCATAAAGTGCATCTTGTTTCTACAGGGGTCTAGACTATAGTTATGCGCATAATTGTAGTGTTTTCCTTAATCGCAGGTCTAAACAAGTCATTATATGCTACAAGCTCTGTTGTTGAAAATTGCAGCAGGCCATCAAAGATGGTAGTTTGTGTTGAAGCCGAGCAGGTAGAAGATTCAGCGTTATCAGGTCAAGATCAGTCAGAGGTGGTTTCATGTCTCCAAGACTAACCTTCCACTCCCAACTTGCAGGAAGACTCTCCGTCGTTTGTCTTTAAGGTGTATTCTCCGGCGTCGTCTTCCCCAGGTCCTTGATTTTAGCTTCCTCTTCTTGCCGTCGGCGATGATTTGAACTTTCCCGCTGTCCAAAAGCTCTTTTGGGATCGGCTTGCCGTCCTTAAGCCACGTGACCTCGCCGTCAGGCTCCGACACTTCCGCCTCCAACGTCACTTCCGGATCCTTGTCCAGGGCTTTGACGTCTTTGAGTTTGGACTTAATTTTGACAGGTCGGTCTGGACAAGACGTGGGCAAAGGGTCAAGACGTTGAAGGGATATAAAGTGATTTCAAAAGACACCAAACCGTTCTGTTCTATATTTCTAGCAACTCTAAGGAATACTGGATAAAGTTAACATGTTTACCAATTACCTTCGTACTATTCACTATTAGTAGCTTTGAAGGTGCCTACCTGGATAGGGAAAAGAAATTGCCTTAGTTTGAAACATATGGAATGCACGATGTCAACGGCGAGGCTAAAAAGAGGACTGGTAGCAGTCTACTTCAACAAAGTCCTTCCTGTAGGAAGGAAAGGACAAACAGCCACCCATACATCATTTAATGTTAGCAGGCAATGCTCATGTAACATACCTTCTTGTCACCTGTAACTAGACATAAAGTTTAAGAAGGGGGTTGTTGCAGAGCAAAATGATATGCTTGTTAACAATTGATACCCACGGTATAGTAGAAAGCCTCTATCTGTGTCTAAGCTTAGCGGTCTTGATGCCATCTGTGCCTGTTTAACAGAAGCCCCAACATGGCACAGATTCCAAGGTCTTTGATCGACCAATATGTACGCATGAATGCACATCACAATAAAAACCCACATCTTGTCTCTACAGGATATTATACTATAGTTATATCCGTGGATTTGCTCGTAGTCTTTTTGCTGATAATTAATTGCATGTCTAAAACCATACATTATTAACTACAAGCTCTGACATTGAAGAAAAGAGCCGACCGTCGAGAGATAGTAGGTTTGTAAAAAGACAGCAGAAAGAAGCTTGGGTGAGTCAAACACTTGGTTGGGTCAAGCTCGTTTGGAGGAAGCTTGTGTCACCGTCAGTTGAAAGAGGCTTGTCGTCATAGCTTCCTCGAAGACTAACCTTCCACCCCTAACTTGCAAGAAGACTCTCCGTCGTTTGTCTTTAAGGTGTATTCTCCGGCGTCGTCTTTCCCCAGGTCCTTGATTTTTAGCTTCCTCTTCTTGCCGTCGGCGATGATTTGAACTTTCCCGCTGTCCAAAAGCTCTTTTGGGATCGGCTTGCCGTCCTTAAGCCACGTGACCTCGCCGTCAGGCTCCGACACTTCCGCCTCCAACGTCACTTCCGGATCCTTGTCCAGGGCTTTGACGTCTTTGAGTTTGGACTTAATTTTGACAGGTCGGTCTGGACAAGACGTGGGCAAAGGGTCAAGACGTTGAAGGGATATAAAGTGATTTCAAAAGACACCAAACCGTTCTGTTCTATATTTCTAGCAACTCTAAGGAATACTGGATAAAGTTAACATGTTTACCAATTACCTTCGTACTATTCACTATTAGTAGCTTTGAAGGTGCCTATCTTGGATAGGGAAAAGAAATTGCCTTAGTTTGAAACATATGGAATGCACGATGTCAACGGCGAGGCTAAAAAGAGGACTGGTTGCAGTCTACTTCAACAAAGTCCTTCCTGTAAGGAGGAAAGGACAAACAGCCACCCATACATCATTTAATGTTAGCAGGCAATGCTCATGTAACATACCTTCTTGTCACCTGTAACTAGACATAAAGTTTAAGAAGGGGGTTGTTGCAGAGCAAAATGATTTGCTTGTTAACAATTGATACCCACGGTATAGTAGAAAGCCTCTATCTGTGTCTAAGCTTAGCGGTCTTGATGCCATCTGTGCCTGTTAAACAGAAGCCCCAACATGGCACAGATTCCAAGGTCTTTGATCGGCAAATATGTACGCATGAATGCACATCACAATAAAAACCCACATCTTGCTTCTACAGGGGTTCTATACTATAGTTATATCCGTGGATTTGCTCGTTTTCTTCTTGCTGATGGTTAGTCACAAGTCAAAAACCATTCATCATTAGCTACAAGCTCTGACGTTGGGAAATACAGCCGACCGTCGAGAGATAGTAGCTTTGTAGAAGTACAGCAGAAAGAAGCCTGGGTGAGTCAAACACGGGCCAAGCTTGTTTGGAGGAAGATTACGTCACCATCGTCATGTCTCCAAGACTAACCTTCCACTCCCAACTTGCAGGAAGACTCTCCGTCGTTTGTCTTTAAGGTGTATTCTCCGGCGTCGTCTTTCCCCAGGTCCTTGATTTTTAGCTTCCTCTTCTTGCCGTCGGCGATGATTTGAACTTTTCCGCTGTCCAAAAGCTCTTTTGGGATCGGCTTGCCGTCCTTAAGCCACATGACCTCGCCGTCAGGCTCCGACACTTCCGCCTCCAACGTCACTTCCGGATCCTTGTCCAGGGCTTTGACGTCTTTGAGTTTGGACTTAATTTTGACAGGTCGGTCTGGACAAGACGTGGGCAAGGTGCAAGACATTGAAGAGGTGTTAAATCTATTTCAAACTGACTAATATTAGGTTACCAAATGTCTTGTAGCTTCGAATGTTTCCTTTGGAATAATTCTCTTTGAGGGAAACATGTGGAGCATATTCTGTCAATTGCGAGGTATTTGTCTTATAAGTCTTCCTAATACCTACCCACATACCAGATATTGTCACAATCCATCTAGATCTACTCGACATATGCTAGCCATAAATATGGACAGACAGACACACCCAAGTCATCACCTCCATTGGCAAAAATCTCAACAAACAATGACACACAAATCAATGACATGGTTGCTGGTACGACATGACATATATTTGTCAATCATTCATCCTATAACTAAGGGTAGGGTATGGTGGGGGTGTTGCAGAGGGAATGGTTTCGTAGCAAGCCTCTGTCTGTGTCCAAGCTCGATGATCTTGTTGCTTCCTGTACCTACAAAACCTACAAAGGAATTAGTATTTAAACCAGTAGCGCCTACGTGATACCGATTCTTGCTGCTACTGTACTGTGGAATTGCTTGAGCATTCGGTAAAAGCACGTCATATTGTTTGCGCATTGTCGTCAGGTCATGAGAAGCTCCAAAGCGATGGTCTCCGTCCTTTTGCCCGAGTTGTAAAGCAGATGCTGATCCGTTTAAGATGACGCGATTGAAGCAGCGATTGGTACAATGAGAAGCAGGGGAGGTTGATGAGTTCATTCCAATGTCTCCACCACAAACCTTGTACGCCCAGGTTGCATGACGAAGTCCCAGCGTTGGTTTTCAGTGTATACTCCCCAGCGTCATCCTTTCCCAGATCTTTGATCTTCAGCTTTCTCTTCTTCCCGTCCGCGATGACCTGGACCTTCCCGCTGTCTAGAAGCTTCTTGGGAATCGGCTTTCCGTCTTTGAGCCACGTGACCTCCCCGTCAGGCTCCGACACTTCCGCCTCTAACGTCACTTCCGGATCCTTGTTCAAAGCGTTCACGTCTTTCAGCTTTGAGGTGATTCCGATTTTTCTGTCTGATGGAGAACCAACGATAGAATTTTTACGCAGAGCGCACAAACTATGTTTCACATTGCCGTTAAGGGGGAGGGTGTAAAATAAGAAAGAAACACACTGCAAAATATAAATACATGAAAACCACAGTTCACGCAAAATAGAAATGGAACCCGGTTTAGTTAGTTTAGTAGGTAGCCAGTCAATGTTTTGTTATGCATATAATATTAACTTAATTTGTGTGTTGGTAGCTCTAGTTATGGTTTCTGCTAGAATCTTGTTATGGTATGGGATATTTAATTTATTATCCAAGAAGCTTTATCGTCCTTGCATAAGTCCATTACTAACTTTGATGAATAGAATTAAGATGCCATCTTAACCATTATGAATAGATATCAAAGCAGTAGTAGGCACAGTTGCTCCATGGTTCAGTTAAACGACAAGGGTTTAGTAGTTTTTGCTCTGTAAGATGAATTTCGACGCCTTCAATTGTAAGCATAAACGATGTCGTGAAGTCCGTTATGTCGTCTGGGTACAGTTGATCCGTGGATTCAGTTAAACGGCAAAAGAGTTAAGTATTAAGAGTAGTTTGGCTCTGGATGTTGGATGTATTTCGTCGCGTTCAACCTTGTAATAAGCAGAGGACGAAGTCATGAGGTCGTGATGTCGTGTAGTAGTGGGTACAGTTGCTCCATGGATGCAGTTAAACGACAACAAAGTATTAGGAGTAGTTTGGTTCTGCAGGTATGATGTATTCCGTCGCGTTCAACCTTGTATAGCACAGTTACTCCATGGATCGAGTTAAACGTCAACAAATTGAGGTATTAAGAGTAGTTTGGCTCTAAATGTAGGTAGTATTTCGTTGCGTTCAACCTTGTGTAGCGCAGTTTCTCCATGGATTGGGTTAAACGACAAGAAATTGAGGTATTAAGAGTAGCCTGACTCTAAAAGTAGGATGTATTTCGTCGCGTTCAACCTTGTGTAGCGCAGTTTCTCCATGGATTGAGTTAAAAGACAACAACCTGAGGTATTAAGAGTAGTTTGGTTCTGAATGTAGGATGTATTTAGTCGCGTTCAACCCTGTATAGCACAGTGTCTCCATGGATTGAGTTAAACGACAAGAAATTGAGGTATTAAGAGTAGCTTGACTCTAAAATAGGATGTATTTCGTCGCTGGAAGTTGTGTGGTTCGTCATGTCGTCTTTTCTACAAACCTTCCACGTCCAGTTTGCAATTGGAGGTCCCGTCGTTGGTTTTCAAGGTGAACTCCCCGGCGTCGTCTTTGTTCAAGTCCTTGATCTTCAGCTTTCTCTTCTTGCCGTCTGCGATGATCTGGATCTTGCCACTGCTGAGGAGGTCCTGGGGAATCGGCTTCCCGTTCCTCAGCCACGTGACCTCCCCATCCGGTTCAGAGACCTCCGCTTCCAACGTCACTTCCGGGTCCCTGTCGGTGGCTTTTACGTTTTTCAACCCGGACTTAATCTGAATGAGCCGATCTGAAGAGCAAGTGCACATTCAGTCGTGAAATAACGGCACCATACTGCTGTAGAGCCAGTAACCATTTCAAAGAAGACCATTAAAAAGACCAAGAGTGCTTACCAATAAGACCAATTCATATATTAGTTTCCTATTATCATGTTCTGATTGTTGGGCAAAAGGCAACCAACCGGACAGTGCGTGCATATGTGTGTGTATAAGTGAATGAGTTGTGAAGAATATACTAGATTTGTTTGTACAATCCAACCACTCTAGTTTAGGCAATGGTTTGATCCTTATGATATTCATGGAAATATATTCGAGGCGTTAGCATGGCAACTATTCGCAGAAGCTCTCAGCGTTTTGGAAAATTCAGCGATGTGACTGGTGGGCAAAATTCATCAAGCGCGTAAGCTGACGGCTGGCAATTTGTACGAAAGGCCGAAGAAAGCACGCGCGAATCATGCGGTCGGCCGCTCACCCTGCTCCGAAAAGAAGAGAAAGTATCAGAAAGAGTTTATAGCAAAGAATCTGGCAATACTCTCAGCATGCATAGGATAGCAATAGAAAAGGGTTAAGAACAGCAACAGATACTGGAGTGCATCAAAGATGGTTTGTCCAGTAGTCCTCTACTTCATAGTGACAGCTATAGTGTGAAAGGAGTTGTTCCAGTGAAAGATGGTTTATCTAGATGTCCTCTACTTGGTATTAAGTGTAAAATAAAAGGAGTTGATCCAGTGAAAGATGGTTTATCTAGAAGACCTCTACTTGGTAGTGGCAGTGAGAAAAGGGTTGATCCAGTGAAAGATGGTTTATCCATCTCTCTAATTGATAGTGAGTATAAAAGGGTTGATCCAGTGAAGGTTAAGAGAAGAAAAGGTTGGTGACAGATGAGGAAGGTTAGAGGTAGATGCAGCAGGCTGACCGACTCTAGACCACAGACCTGAGATGTCCAGCTTGCACTTGGACTGTCCTGAGTTCGTCACCAGCGTGAACTCTCCACAGAACGCCTTTTCCGGGTCTTTGATCTTCAGCTTCCGCTTCCGGCCGTCCGAAATGATCTGGAACCGGCCGCTGGACAGGAGATCCACCGGGATCGCCTGGCCGTTCCACAACCACGTCACCTCCCCGTCAGGGATCGAGATCTCAGCCTCCAGGATCACTTCTGGGTCCTTCTCGCGGGCGCTAACGTCTCTTAGCCCGGTCTTTATTTTCACAGGCCGGTCTAGACGGAGTTGGTAGATAATCAACAGCACATTCATCGTTTATCTTATCTAAACAAGCATCGAAATTCAGCCTTGTACATCACGGCTGTCAGTTATGCTGTTTTTGATACATGTATACAAATAAACCAATAAACATTTGATACATACCAACCATAGAGAGCAATTAGTGATCACTATCGGCAGTATGAAATGTTGAACTAAAACTTTTATAAACCGGTCTAAATAGGTTAAGTATTCAGACATGGTAAATATTCTGGAATCAACAACACACTTCATACATACAGACCATAATGAGCAATTGATGACCATCTGCTGTATGAAATGTTAAACTAAAACATTCTAGCATCAATAAGTACTTGTAGGCAACAATGAGGGCAATCAATAAGGGCAATGATAATGTTAATGTGGCTTGATGGAACTTGGTCAAGCATGGTTGCGTTTTCTGTTGGTTCGATATGCAACAACAAAATGTGTGTTGTATGTTGCATGGAAGCTGTAGTCATGTATTCACATGTATCTGATGATTTGATTCAAGCGCGCGCGACGCAAAGTGTATAAGGCGCACACGTGAGTGAAAAAGGCATTAGATGAGTTAAAGGTACTATAGTTGTCTTGCGGAGAAATGCATACGCATGTATATGGTGGATGAAAATGGACTAAACCTGATTATCATACATGG